GGAAGAAGCTGGGGAAAACCAATAACAAAAAAAAAAAAAAAAAAGAAAACAACAAAAAAAAAAAACCTTTCCACAACAAAAGGCAGCGCCACCGGCTCCCGAGGCTTTGGAAACCTCTGGGCGCCGGGCCCCGAGCCGCCGGCAGCCGCCCCCGCAAGCGACCCGCCGCCTAACCCCCCCCCTCCCCGCACCGCCCCACTCACTTTTGGTGGCGGCGATGAGGTTTTTGCCATCCTTGAGCAACTCCTTAATAAACTTATTAGTTTTCTCCAGCTCGGCTTCGTGGGCTCGCACCCGCTCCCTGAACCAGGGGCTATCCAGGTAGCAGTCGCTGAACTCTAAAGGCTGCAACCCCATGGCGGCGGCTGCACCGGGGGTTGGGGTGGAGGAGGAGGTGGGGGGGTTCGCCTCCTCTCCACCGGGCCTTCACCTCCCCGGGCTGGCGCAGCCACAAAGAGACCGGAGAACGGCGAGGTTCTCCCCCCCCCGAGGTGGGGGGGTTCGCCTCCTCCCCACCGGGCCTTCACCTCCCCGGGCTGGCGCAGCCACAAAGAGACCGGAGAACGGCGGGTTTCTCCCCCCCCGTCCCCCCCCCGCCAACACGGGGCTGGGCGCGGGTAAAGGCGAGGCAGAACGGAGCCGCCCTCCCCGGGCCAGGACCCACCTCCCGCCCGCCCCTTCCTCCCTGCCAGCCCGCCCCGGGGTGGCCGGTTACACAAGGGGGAGAGACGTGAGGAACCGCCTCGATTTCTGCAGGGTTATAATAAAACTTCACCCAAAGAGCTCTCCTGCCCAGAAGAGGCCTTAAGAAGACCACTCAACGCTGAGCCGTTGGGGTTAAGGACGTTTGGAAACCCCAGAAGACAACAGGAAAGGCTTGTAATTACACTTCATGTAGTTTGTACTGATAGTTTTTTAGTTATCTTTATCATAATTATCACCTAAGGCAGATTTTACGTCGTTTATAAACGGTTAAACTGCAGAGAATCTTCTCTCAGAGAAGAAATAGAGCTTTTTTAGCAACCATCCCAAATGGTTTCAAGGATCACAGTTATCACCTAAGACAGATTTTACACCGTTTATAAACGTTTAAACTGCAGAGAATCTTCTTTCAGAGAAGAAACGGAGCTATTTTAGCAACCATCCCAAATGGTTTCAAGGACTCAAGATGTCTGTGGCCCATTAGAACATGGTGACCTAAGACAGGGATGCAATAAATGTGGACGTTGTCTGACACACAGGTGGTAACGGGGAGATCATTAGTTATAATGAGCAATTAAGCAGTTGGAATGCTTCATCAACATGAAAAGGGAGGCAAAGGAACAGGTGAAGAAGATGAAGACTGAGGAAGAAACGACCCTCGCTCAAAATGAGGACCACCAGAAGGCACAACTACGCATGCCCGAAAGCTGATTCTAATATGTAAATGAATTCTCAGAAAATTAATTAATTAGCTAATGTTTTCTCGGGATCACATTGAATATGTATCCCTGCTGTGTATAAATTTAAAGTGACAACAGCATTCGGGGAGCACAACAGGAGGAGCCATCCCCTGCCCACCCGGCACAGTGATAAAGAATTTATAAACTTTAAATTGAGTCTTAGAAAGTTTTACCTGCTGGTTTGCGCTAACAGTTATATAGTTATTTTTATTACAGTTAATTTGTATTTATAATTTTATAGTATTTATAGTTTTATAGTATTTATAGTTTGGGTATAACACCCTGGTTTTAATGATTTCGGAGTAGAATTCATAGCAATTCGGTGGAGCTTCAAAACCTTTAGATGACCGGAGTGTATCTATTTTAGTCATGAATGTATGTCCAGATGTCTCGTTTGGGGAGTAACTTCTATCTATTTCATGTTCTGTTTTTCAGCAAATTGAGTAGTTAGCTCCTGCTCCTTTTGAAGAGATGAGCTTTGGGTGTTAATTTAAATGTATTATTGTTGGGCCTGCAGTTAAGCCTTAGTCTGGGTTGGCCGAAGAATTAATAGAGTTGGGTTTTTTGGGGGGTATAGCTTACATTTTGAAGACTCACACAAAAAAAAAAAAAAAAAAAAATACTTTATTTTTTTTCTTAAAAAGT